ATATCTACGCAAGCGTCGTAAACACATAAGAACTGATTGGCACGAATCCATGAAATGCAAGGGCACGCAGAGACGCGGATACCAATGCGTAGTTCACAACGATACGCAGTACACGCACCGTCACACCAATATCTGAGCACAAGGCCTAAAACCAAACCCATTCGTAAATTTTATCATATATTGGAATAGATCACGGTCTGATGGAAACGACCACCGTTTATTAGATTTTTGGGGAGCGGCAGATCATTACAATGTGGCCGAATATATTACTACTTTAAACACTGTGAAGATTCAACAGGTTTGTTACTTTGAACAGACCGGCAATTGATAGCAGAATGTAATTCAAAATGGGAACTGCCTATCAACAATACTACAAGCGCTTAGTACTATCGAGCTTAATAATTAGAAAACAAAAACTAAAAAGCATAAGCTTGATGTCAGCGTACCCCACCTTCGCTTAATGATAAGCAACTGAATAAATAATCTGTAACCATTTTAGTTGCTTGGCGTTACTGACAGTATCCAAAAACATGGACTTTACATGCGACAGTACCTATATCATTACATATCATAGTCCCTTTTCGCGTCTTTGTAGCCAACATGAAACTGTAACTTTTGTAGGTAATAATAATATGACACACGACGTAGCTCGCCTTTCGATCTACGGGTATAAATTTTGCTTAGAGCTATGGGCAGCTTCAACATTGAAAGTCATGTGGCGAGTGCTGATCTAAGTATTACGTGATCAATGCATTTGAAAGTTTAAAAACCAAAGCTTTTTTTAAATATGTTTCACACCTTAAATCTGCCTTTAATAGAGAATAGACTTTGGCCTCTATTTCGCAACCTCGAAATCCAAATGAAAACGTTTAGATGATGTTATTTAATCATCACTGCCGTCAACGTCGAAAAGATAAGGCAGCCGCTCAATGAACTGAGTCTCAGTAAGCGATATTGTCAGAATTAAGTCTATGAGCAGCATACGATTTGTATCTTACAGCACTAGTTCTAAGTTCAACCTACTAAGACAACACAAAAAAATCTTACGAAAAATAAGTTAAGTGTTTTTTTTTGCCTTACGCGTGTCTTAAGAACGATGAATATCATTTTACTTTAAACCGTATTGAGGATTCAAAGTGGTGAATCCAAATATCAAAGTGAAACTGGTTCAGGAAACAATTTCCTACTAAAACTATGAAAACAAAAAGGTGCTCCTGTGCCTATAGAAATTGTGTAGCGTTGACTGCCGCTCTGGAGTACATCTAGCTTTTAAGATCAGAGGATGCCATTACGTAAATTCAGATTGCTTGGGACGTCTAAGGTCTGGATCATACGTGAACGTGTCCACGTATGGTTTAGAGTTCCCGTATATATACACATGTTTATATAAAGATTAAAAGGTTTTTTGTTTCTCTTTGGCAGTCAGGTTTAAGAACGTTTCGGGCGTATCAGGCTTTTAGATATACATAAACTGGGATTTTCTGCCCAAGTAGCACAACAACCAATATGCAATCGGAGATCAAAAAACATCGACCATGTAAAGCGAAAAAATACATAGCGGCTGCTTCAAAACAATGAATTAAACCAAAAACATCACTTTATGCGCAGTAGCTTTCAGACAGAACTATGGTCTGCTCGTATCCGTTGTATCCGCTTGGTACCTAAGCGTTATAAAGAGTAGAATAAGAAGCCGCCGCCTGACAAGAACAGAGAGGGTCTAAATAGAAAAAACTACGATAGAGACAACCATAAACAAACCTCTTATTGTTGCCGCTTTCTTTGGAAGGGTTGTCGTTCTTTACTTGATCACAAATGTTTTATTACATTTACATTAAATGATGGATTCTAATGTAAGATAAATGCCCGTAGACATGAATAGGTAGGTACAGTTACCGCTAAGCAAATACAAAATAGACGCGCTTTTCTCTTTCACGTTTGATTCAGCTTGCGTGTGTCAGCTATCACATAGCGACAAACATGCCCAGTGACTCGCGCACGCACGTTTAACACCCACCTCCCTTGTAGACGCCGGCCCTTTGCGGACTGTTGTTGGTCACACGATGGCCTACGTGAGTTTCACGACCGTTGACTGTACACCGTCCATTTGAGTGAAACACATATAAGAGTACGTACATTTGCTCCCTTAATTTCTAACGCTTATGTTCAAACACTTACAAATAAATAACGGTGTTGACCCAAATGCCGCAGCCAGATAATAATACACTCGCCAACGATACAAACGATTTCATAAAACAAGAATTGTGTTGGTTTAATTTCAGACCCACACCACAAGAATTTCTATGCACTAATAAACCTAAAACAACATCGATAATCGGTTCCGCGTCGTATTATGCGCAATGTATGTGGCCTAACGAGCAACCTTAGGTTATATTGTAGTTTCAAATCTCTGTAATGCTTTGCTTAACGTACCTTTCCGTGACTAATGATAGGCTCGCATCTTGCTATTAATACCTTTGCCGTCCTACCACGAGTTGGTGTTTGTGAAAATGCCGAATTCTGTAGTAATAGACAGTAGTATCCTTAATTATGTAATACTAGGGCGCTGGGATGTCAGGACAGATCCTTTTCTGAGGCCACTCAGTGGCTCCTAGCGATGACTCAGACACCGCTGACCAGACAGTCAGCTTGTCACACTCAAACCTTTTGTTATTGCTACGCTGGGATATTGAACTTACTGGGACACTGGCCATATGTGGCCTAGCTGTCTACTGTTACGCCTGATATTTGACAAACTATTCCTGAAATGACTCAGGATAGTAAAGGAACAAAGCTCCTAATTTGCATCGTGCCTTAGCTGTTGCTGTCCGCTCAAAGTCGGCCGTATTCCTGAATATAAAATTTAGTTTTAATACAATATAGAGCAATGCTGAGTAAACTTCCGGGGTACACAAATGTACGAACTCGTATGGACTAATTTTTAGCGCAAACCAACCTTATATTGCCGAATTGCGAACACAAACTTCTTCTCTTCCGTTTACTTTGAAATCTAAAGAAACTTGTGTCAGACAATCTTCTTCAATGTTCTCATCATAAAGCTCACGATGACTTCTAGCCGTTCCAGCATGAACGCCTCTCAGACAAGATGGACCATATTAATCCGCTTAGTAATACGCTATACATATCCATATCCTGATATATTCCTTGCTCTACTAATAAGCAGAGAGGAATGCGTATGGTGTGTGCTTCAAATTGACGAAAGTGTCCCAAAGTGTCTACGCTGTATTGTTGCGCTGTTCATTAAAAACAACCTCGTTCATGCGCAGAGTACAATCCCATTTATACTTGTGAATCGCAATTTCACAAACTAGTTTTTAAGGTGAAAACGATCGTCCGAGTTATTTGCAGCACTTTATTCAAGAATCAGTTACTTTTATTACGCTTGCAAACTAGATCTAGATAGATGTCTTTAGACATCTATCTAGATCTAGGAGACGAAACCATGTTGGAATCAAAAAATGCGTTCCTACCTAGACTTGTTAATATATAAAATGTTCCATTAAAAATATCATTCTAAATTTAAAAAAATGCTTATAGCTGGTATTGTGTTTACCAAAAAAAGACTTACGAAAACACTGCACAATATAGCTATTGCAACAAAATTATGGGTCTATTGCAACGGTTATGAACTATTCCGGAACAGAAAAAGGCCTACATTTATATATTGATAAAGAGCAAATTAATCGACAGAATGTTCGAAGATAATTAGGTCTTCAACGATGAGTTTTTTTTAAGCTTCTATATTATCAATTCCGTAATAAGTAACCAGTTAAAAGTGATTGTAAATGTAAATCACTGTTTATCAGCAAGAGGTCACCTGGTAAGACACCAAGTCAAGCTTGATTTTATTTTACCAACGTAGAGTTCTAAGAGTGTTCCACAAAGCAATCGCTTCATCTGGATTTGAAACTCCGCCAGTATAAAGAGTCGAGTCATTTGGCAAGTTATTGCGGCGTGGCAAGCTTACGTTCGCTCATAGGCGACGGACAGCATGGTTCTTGCTAAGCTAATATAAACGGTCGTACTAAATGTGAAAAGTTGCGCAGCGAGGGTCCAATAGGGAACCGCTCGCTTCTTACTAAATTTCTTAGTAGTATCCACTGAGCGATAACATTAGTTGACGGACATACGGCAAAATTTAACGGCAAATCTTTCTGTGTTACGCATGCAACCGTACGTCGACGTCATTAATCTCAGCCGACAAGTGCTGGTCCGCTTTGGAGGTGAATCTCGCGAACCGCTTGTGGCAATTCTATGGTTGTGGATGCACAACAACAATTGCTCGCCGAGACTAACTTTTCGCTGTTGTCATCGATGCGCAGGAGAAAATAGGCCAAACATGGTTGTTGTTACTGTCATTATCGTTCAGTCAGGTCGATCGGTCATTGCAATGATATCTGTTGTCCTACTACCGAAATCGTATGCAAATGTGCTATTCATAATATCGAATAAAAGTCGCGCTTGTTCCGCATTTGGCACTATGTACAAATCGTACCTTCGTATGACGAATTCCATTTTGAAGTTGTAGCATTTTTTAAGATAAGTGCAACTATACATTCAAAAGTTATTATTATTAACCTATAACTATCTGGTATAAAGTGGGAAGAACTTCCAGCAAAAAGACAGATACCCATAAATTCATTATTCGAGTATCTCGAGCGTTTCGATGTGGGTGCCTCTTCTTCAATATCTTGGTCCTAAACTGGCAGGAATGAATAAACGTCCGCTCTCTTCGACGGCGGCGCAGAATCGGAGATGTACACAGAGGGTTGATTGAAATATCGGAAAATATGCACGCGAGAGACAAAGTGCTAGCTACCTGTGACAGTTGCTGTGATCGTTATGATCTAGTCAGATGTAATACTTATTATTATATATCTCATATCGGAGATACTATCAAAATATAATTTAATAAAAGACAATCTTATGAAAACCGTATCTTGCATAAACTATTTTGCCCAGAAACATTTCATTAGACTTACCCGCATGCTGAGCCTTGACCTGGCAGACGTAGTATTGATGAAAGGGTCCGCCAAATAGAAACTCAAATTTTGGATTGTCCCTTTGCTTTTGCTTAGTCATCTCCTCAAACTCGGGGCCGTTCCGGGCTACAAATTGAGCCAACTTCATGATGATGTTGCGAAGCTCTGAAAAATGGCAAGCAACAAATCAACGTGGACGAAACCACAGCAAGACAGCTACGTCTTCAGCAGCATACTATGAATTACTAACAATATTTATTATGATGTCAGATGAATGATATCTATGAAGTCGAACGTCGTTGACCAATAAACACGGTCCTTCTATATGCATAATAATGTCGTTCTAGTAGTAACAACAATAGACAATGGCAACTATAACAAATGAAAACATGGTAGCTATCAGTAGGTTATACAAAGTATAGTGCACCTAACGTGTAATTACAGAGGTGATTTCGAAGTATTCACGGAGTTAAATTACGACTCCAAATGTCTCACATGTAATACAAAAGAAGGCATCAATAGGCTATCGCACTTTTGATGAAAAACAGTGTAAATAATGCACTACATAAAGGAAAGTGAAAATTAATTCAGCCAACTATTTTTATAGTACAAACAAATTAGAAACTCATAATATCTCACCTTTCTTTTTTCGGCAGGAGAAGCTGATATGAGGTTTGATATTTGTGTTTTGAAAACGTAATCAATCGATTTCTCTAATATTAATTTATATCAACTGAACATATCAGCATTTAATCAACTCGTTTCTTTCGTAAATTATTTGGACGGATTTTAGAACGGGCGTTTCCTGGACGGGTTCGCAATGACATCTTAGCTTCACTATAAACATTAACGTATGTTTTCATATTTTGTAAAAATCATCATTCGCTTTCAATAAAGTACTACTTAACGCATGTTGGGTCATCAAAAAAGTATTGACCATTTCTAACAAAAGCAATAGTTTTAAACTAAATCTGCGTCATTTGGATCGATGACCTGCTGCCATTTGGTGGTAACACCACAATTTCGTTATTGTAAAACATCTGTGGTTTCTGGGCGAAAAACTGTGACAAATAACCTTTGCATTCTTCCATTGAAACTGCATCATTAGAAAAGTTCTGCAGAAACTGAAATAGATGATAGTCTGATAGTACGAGATTTGGACAATACGGTGAATATATTCAAACTTCCATCAAAGCTCTTTCTCGATTTTTGCCGGATAGCTAAAGGTGTTTATTATCTACTAATGTCATAATTGAAGACAATGCCCCTCCCTTTCTATTCATTAATTCTGGTCGCCTTTTTTGTTAGTTGTTGACAGCAGAGGTTGGAATCGATCGTTCTGCCAAGCGGCAGCAACTCACAGCGTGTGATTCTTTCTAATTCCACCAAACTCATAGAATCGCCTTGTTAGGCGTCAGTCTGGGCTTTGCTACAGATTGTGTAATACACAGACTTTTGCGATAACTTCGTGAGCTTTTTCCATAACTTGTCAACAACTACAAGCAGCATCTTTCGTATCGAAATTTGCAGAGTAAAAGCGACAGAACTATCTTTGGGGCGTTTATTCCGATAATGCGTTTTAACCATAAATAGCATAACTTTTTATGGGCCTGATCAGAAACTATGCCTTCATCGTAATACAACTGTAAAAGACAGTAAATTTTAGCAAACATTTCGCCCATCGTCAAAATATTCTATCTTAAATCTGAATAAAGACATTTCAGAAGTTCTAACAAATCTCAGCCTTCAAATGAAAATGTCGATGTAACTAATATGGCGTGAAATATACGACTTTAAAGCCATCTGGCTAGAAACATGGTCAATTTTTTTCGAGAACTAATATATGCGACACTAGTTAAGAAATCCGAAGGCAATCAGATTCTGGTGGTGTAGAACATGGCAATTAAATCATTGTCTAATATTTATGCAGTTGGCTTAAATAGCGGATGATAAACACTATGCATTAATTATGTAAGAAACACTTTTTTTCAGATGACCTGGTGGTATTAAGTCACATGGGCCGTTGTGCCATTTTTCACCGGAGGTAAAAACATTTGCTTTCCCATTTAGCATGCACTGTCTAAACAATTGGAATTTTCAATCAAAGTATTGCCGAAGAGCGTCAGTGAAAATATTTCACTGCGGCTGGTTTAAGTGATGCTCGAGTAGACTGTTTTTTAATACTGTTCCACACCATTACTGAAATGTAAGAATTTACGAACGCATGCTGTTGAACTCCTCTTGAAGCGTTCTCTTCAGCAGATCTGAATAATAAAACATTTATTTAGAACCTCACCGGTGACTCGCACTATAAATTTTGATAAGTTGGCCTTCTTTTAAACATTTCACCTAGCGCCTTCCATAAAACCTTAAGTTGTAGCTCAAGCTCGTAAATAAAATGTGAATATAGTACAGAAAACACCATATTAAAATACTCATCTGCGAGTTAAGAGGCAACTCGTGGTGGAATAGAGTTTTGACAAAAGGTTGATAGGGGGACCAATTTTTCAAAATTGTTTCGCAAAATTTAACACTGAAAAGTGTTTTTGTCTGACAAAGCTCGAATGCGCTAACGACTGGCGAAAATAGCAAAAAAAGGAATCATGCGAACGTATTTGCATATTTAGAAATAGCATTTGACGACCTGGTGCCTGTGGTCTCATCGTATTAATTTGGTTCTATACATTTGGCTTATATTGTCTCATTTTCTGTAGCGCAAAAATCATTGTGGCACCTATTGCAACCTATCTGGTAAATTATACTTTGAATAACATATAGCAATGAATGCATTTACGGGAACTTTACCGACTCCGATAGATTTTAAAAATCACAAAAATAAACCTTCGAATAGCAGTTATTCCCTTAGACGTTATTCGCATAACTATTTCTGCAGATCCAACAATACCGCCAATAATTTACTAAAATAATGCTAACACTTGTTACTTAAAACTTGTTAACTTAAAAAAATCATAAAGAGAACAGGCCCTTTACCGTCGGTGAAAACGTTATCATTTTCAAGCTAATTTAATTTTTATTACCTGAAACGAATACTTCCATAATACATGAGTAATATCTTCGCGTAAAGGCTACCAGTATCACAATTAAATAATTTCATAAAAAAAAAAACATTACTATCAAGCTAACATCTAACAAATAGGCAGATCAATCTGTAGTTGCCACTATCATGACTACCAGCTCATTATAACATATTGTGTGTTTCCCAAAACGGACGTAATCGTTGCTGTCGACGGTAAACCAAATAGTCGCTTAAAGTAACAAGAAATATTGGTGCAGATGGTATCACAGCTTATCACTCGAAACAGGTAATAACAATGGGAACACATTAGTTCAACACATTACACTTATAATAAAAACGTTCACAATCGGGTGTTCACAATGAGCTAGGTAGATACAAACATAAAATTGACGATTTTGTTCACGACTGCCCTTGTCATTGGGCTTGAATAATATGGCCATGTTGTACACACAGTCAATCTGTGGAACTATCACAACCGATAATTACTGAAATTACTGTTGAAGATCAATGAAAATAAACATGATAGAATTTTATCCGAGTAATATTCTAGAACCAATAAACTCTAGTACATCTAATGTAATCATGTTTAATAGATCTTCCTTAAGAATAGCGAATACATGTGGTGCATAAACATTTTAACAAATCATGACGTTCAGGGTGTACTTCACTGAACGTAACGAGTAAACCATTTTTATACCACATTTTTATACGAAATATCTTACATAGAAAATTATCTGAAAAACCTAATGAGAAAATTGTAATTTTGCAGGACTACCAAGACAATGTCGCTGGCAATTTCAGGCAGATCTGGATGAAACTGATGCTTGCAGATAACATCCTGAAAGATCGAAAATATCCACGAGCTTCATCAGCTAAGAAACAGTACCGAAGGGTGAGAGATGCCAAAAAACTGGTAAGACAATCATGTCACGGGCTTAACATTAATAAACAAAGTATCCATTGCATTTAAGATAGTTGAAATGAACAAGTTACATCCCAAGATGATGTATTTTGTTAATGAAGATGATCCGAATTGAAGAAAACGATTTTACGAATGGTACTTAAAAATACGAGCAGGATGCATAGCAAAAAAGGTTAGAGAAATACAGTTTGAAATTAAATGACGCAGTTCGTCGAAATAATTAAATTCACATGGATACCACCGAGTAAATTTACCAAACGCGGAACTTCAAGCAAAAAGTTAAGTAGATCATTCTGTCTTGGTAGTAATTATTTGAATCTACTGCGAAAATTTGTTTTAACAAGCGTTTAACAAAACTTTAATGAAAATGACGAACTTCATTCCTGACAGGACGGAGCATTTGTACGTCTTTATTGTTGTATTAGAGCATATCTTGATGAAAATCTTCAGAATAGGTAAGTTGGACGACAACGTCCCATAGGGTACCCTGCCCGTTTTTCAGACTTGATGCCACCATACTGTTCTTGTGGAAATACTTTAAAAATGAAGTCTTCGCCAGAAAAATGACGACATTAGATAATTTGAAAGTCGCCATTAGGAATCAATACGTCATAATATTAACCGAATGAACTAACTGCCGTATTGCCCAAAAGAGCAATAACTTTGAGCATTCATGGTTAGAACAAATTATTTGGAAATTCCAATATTAATTATATATAAATAATGACTAAAGCTATAGGGATCCACACTGTATATACATTTTCCGGAACGCCCCCTAGAGTATGCTTTGAGATATAAAAATATTATCAGTTAAGTTTATTTACTTCATTATGTTCTTTAATTTTACCATACACATTAATAATGTTCATGTAAATTCATTAAAAGTTGATTCAAGGATCGCGCGCTGCAATCTCTTATAAACGATTGGAGTTACACTAAGGTTCAAAAAGGCTACACGTATCAATTTCTTGTTGTCAAATTTGCGAATACGCAAAAAACCGATGGCTTTCGTGAGTAGCTTTAGATAACAACGATCAGTCGTACATTTTGTGGCTGGCGACGTGCTTATTAAGATTAATTATAAAATGTATTATTTCTCTATCGACGTTTGTTACATTCAGTCCAGCAGTAATTCCTGTGTAAAATTTAGGCTAACTATACGAAAAAAATACTACTTAGGATGAAAATCGTCGCTGCCATATAGGACTTACCTCACTAAAAATGCCATAATAAAGTGCTTTATATGACAAAACATTTTTGTAACACTCAAGTTGGGTACTGCAAACGTCACTTTCATTGATAAATAGCAGAATCTCTACAAGTGATTATAGTAATAAAGGAGTGCATCTTGTGCCTTCTTGACTTGCGCTTCAGTATTACAAGACGCCACACCTTTACACGTAAATTTGTAATCCGTAATAAGGTACAATAAAAAATGCCTCTTTTACCAACAAGATTATAAGGCAACATACATGGGATAATCACAAACATAGAGGACCACTAGAGGATGCATTTTTTCAGTATATACCATTCATCTCACATGCGTTCCTATTTTAAAATATACCGAAAAGCTGTAAAGGTTGCGCATGACTCCCAGTTAGGCACCTAACAACAAAACGCTTTGACAACAAATTTGCGCCCGAGACAAACTTGCGTAAGATCTAATCAAGAAGTGCGTCTTGTTAAAGCAATATAAGCAATATCGGTTATTGCAGATCCCTATAGCCCTAATAGGCCCTAAGTTTCATTTAAGTGGATCTATAAGATGAACAAGGCGTAACGGATACCGGCTTACTGCAGTGATTTATACACGTCTCTACGTAAATCTTTTTGGCAACTGAATCTGGTGTAAATTGCAAAGAGACAAAATAGAGACTGAACACTGCTAGCTTATGATGCAACTATCAAAGTATAATAATTATTAAATAAATTGTGCCAATGTGCCTTCCTTACACATTGATATGCTATTTGCTAATTTTATCTCACTTCTTTAAACACAATAGATATTTGCATGTAATTTACGATTTGCCATTCCTGAAAGAGAATACACAGCGGTTACTGTAAGCATTGCACAGCAGTCTACCTTTGCCCGCTAAACTAATCTCGAGTATCAGATACAATTGAATCGTTCAGTGTCAAATTCAATGGTTCCATATTATCAATCAATCGAGACATACCAGCCGGAGGCTCGACGGGCGACATCTTGTCTATGCTTTTATTCATTCGAAAGCTTTTCACAATCGTCCGAGTGATAAAAATTTCACGATGCGATAACGGCACGAACGCACACCACTGTACAGGTAAATTGACGTTTTTCTATAGAGATTGCCGACAACAACATCCATGAGATTCTGAACATCAACAACAATAACAAGGTATTAAGCGTAAGCTGTCATATTTCGTTGCGGCTGCATCAACAGTGAGCAGAACTCGTCCTGACAGCGCAGCTTAGGATGTCCACTAAATTTAGAAATACATGGAAATCGGCTAGACCCGAAATCAACCACAGATACATTTAGTTTTAGTCCAGAAGCAATGTCTCTAATGTAATTCCACCACCGGCACTACCAGATCTAAAATTTCAAACAGTTGTTTCTTAGCTGTGAGCAGAAAAATCGTCTGCTACGGCAGTTACCGTCGTGGATCGACGCATGCGCGAAGAACTTTTTGCCGGTTTGCGTTAGTTATTATTAAACACAACGACATCTATGGGCGCACCGGCGGTCGGACGGTCTACTACTCTCAAAATTACTGAATATCGTACGCATCAGTAAATGGCTAACGACAGCGTTCTTTCTTATCGCCAAAACAAGTGCGTCAAAGCTAGCGATCTACTAGTGAAACATCTAGACGCCTAATGAAGAGCAACCACATTATTGCGCAGTTACACGCGCTGGTTCATCTTCATGTCCGCGTATAGCGGCCCTAAGATATTTCCACGTTTCATACATGTTCACTCTCTCTGCCGGGGACTGAGTTTGTTTGTGTTAGAAGATTCTTTCCTTGTCGTCAAGCCTTCGTTCGAATTACCGACTCTCGGCTGTTTCATGTAGTTTGCTCTCCGCTGTAAGCAAAATATGAAAGTATAATGCACTTATTTAACAAAAATACGCAGTAGAAGAGCATATTCTATAAAAATTTTTCAGAAAAGCCACATCTTACACATATACATATACATATATATATACATACATACACATATACGTACATACATACACACATAGGTACATACGTACATACATACATACGTACATACATACATACATACATACATACATACATACATACATACATACATACATACATACATACATACATACATACATACATACATACATACATACATACATACATACATACATACATACATACATACATACATACATACATACATACATACATACATACATACATACATACATACATACATACATACATACATACATACATACATACATACATACATACATACATACATACATACATACATACATACATACATACATACATACATACATACATACATACATACATACATACATACATACATACATACATACATACATACATACATACATACATACATACATACATACATACATACATACATACATACATACATACATACATACATACATACATACATACATACATACATACATACATACATACATACATACATACATACATACATACATACATACATACATACATACATACATACATACATACATACATACATACATACATACATACATACATACATACATACATACATACATACATACATACATACATACATACATACATACATACATACATACATACATACATACATACATACATACATACATACATACATACATACATACATACATACATACATACATACATACATACATACATACATACATACATACATACATACATACATACATACATACATACATACATACATACATACATACATACATACATACATACATACATACATACATACATACATACATACATACATACATACATACATACATACATACATACATACATACATACATACATACATACATACATACATACATACATACATACATACATACATACATACATACATACATACATACATACATACATACATACATACATACATACATACATACATACATACATACATACATACATACATACATACATACATACATACATACATACATACATACATACATACATACATACATACATACATACATACATACATACATACATACATACATACATACATACATACATACATACATACATACATACATACATACATACATACATACATACATACATACATACATACATACATACATACATACATACATACATACATACATACATACATACATACATACATACATACATACATACATACATACATACATACATACATACATACATACATACATACATACATCATACATACATACATACATACATACATACATACATACATACATACATACATACATACATACATACATACATACATACATACATACATACATACATACATACATACATACATACATACATACATACATACATACATACATACATACATACATACATACATACATACATACATACATACATACATACATACATACATACATACATACATACATACATACATACATACATACATACATACATACATACATACATACATACATACATACATACATACATACATACATACATACATACATACATACATACATACATACATACATACATACATACATACATACATACATACATACATACATACATACACACATACATACATACATACATACATACATACATACATACATACATACATACACACATACATACACACATACATACACACACACACATATACATACATACATAGATACATACGGCTTGTTATTCTGATCAACCTTCCAACCGTTTATTCCTCTGGAGTTTTTGCGCTCAAAGCCGCTAATATAATAATAACCGTAGAATGCTTTATGTTCAGCTGGCACGATTCAGTCGCCTAATGTGAAACTCGAATGTCTAAACCGAAGATTTTTTTATTTAAAAGACATCAGGTCCTAGGTTTCACCAGAAAATAAACATAAGAAAGGCAAGAGGGATCCGGGAGCTCGGTCTACTATAGTCTTTGTCGCAACAAGATTACTTCTTCTTTAGAACCTCGACCACATATTTGCACATTGATACCGAGCACAATATGGGTCCAATGGTCCATGTCAGTGAGGCCGCCAGGTTCACTCCCTGCCGCTCAAGTACTATACACTCCCAAAAAGTGTGCTAGATCGGTTCTATACCTCTAGAGTTTCAGAAGGTACAAATATCGCGGGTCGATTTATCCATTCGCCTATCTATCGAGCTGCCAGGACTCCGACCGTGCGTCGGAGTCCTACTGCCGCTTTTGCGCGATTCTTAGTTAGTCGCTGGCCGCTACAACAACTAGTTTAAGTGACAATAAAGACGCAGGACGCCAAGCGTTGGCCTTGGCTGGGCGGGGCTTTCGGACGGCCTTTTTGTTTACATCTGTCGAACAGCGATTGGCTGCATGGCGTTGTCGTACGAGGGTGTGAGAGCGAATGCTGCTTATGGCTTCTGTGGAGACAGGCCAAGCCACAGCGACTCGACAAATAGTACGCTAGCGGCAGTAGCAGCACGCTGATCTAAGCTGTGTTAAGCTGCTAGGCTAGCAGCAGTCATCGTTACTCTACTGCTAGATGATATTAGTGGTGCTGTTCTAGTCAGCGCAGGAAACAGCTTCCTGCAGCCGCACATAGCGGCCTCCCAGTCACACCGGCGCGACCGTTTGAAAGTGGAAAGGGTCCTGTCAGCATCGACAGCGGTAATGGTGGTGATGTCGCTGTGTGGCTGCTTTGCCTAGGCAAGAGTAAAGGGTAAGGGTTATGTATATATAAATGGCGAGCAACGGTGAGGACGCCGTGTCGCCAATGTGAAAGTTCAGGGAACGCCGCGTTTTAGTCAATTTGTGTTGCAGTTGTGGCTGTCGTCGGCCCTGAGGGGCAGCCAGCGTAGGCTTCAAGCACCGCTAACACCATCTGCGTTGTGCAGAGAGACAACAGCCAGCACACACAAAAGCACCCATCGACAGCATCATCGTCCCGTTCTGTACATCTGACAAAGCAACAACAACATCCATTTCGGTTAACTAACCAACAAGTCACTATCAGTTTGTTGTTCGTGTCATGTTTGTCAATCTACGGAAAAAATCGCCCGACGACGACGATGATGATGATAACAATAACAACAACAACAACAACAACAATGACAACAACGTAAAACGTCAACATTTATCGTACTATTAACCGCAACTGCCGAGTTATTTCAGTTCGATTCAATCTCGATGATCTCGTGTGATATTACCAATATCAAATCGGCAGTAACTAGAGTAACGAGCTGAGGTGCTTGCGTGCGTACGACCCTGCTAAAGCTAGGGAAGATTGGTAGAACAGCACATCCAACAATAATAACAACAGCAGCGTACAACGAAAGCGGGACAACGGATAACTAATAGCCAATTAACCAGTGAAAAAAACAGCGTCTCGACCACCGATCCTACTACGGTATCCCTACAGCCCCTACCCGCGAATGCCTGATCTGATGATCGCCATCACACTGCGTCAGAACGGAAAAATTCAGATTGGCAGCAACAGCGGCCGTAGTAGAATTAACGTGCCTGCTAATATTGTTGTCGTCATTGCTGTTGTTACAAGTTGTCAACCCCTGCTAATACTACCTCGATCTACGACTACAACCGGCTACCCAGAGTTACCATAGCGATTCCAGCTCGCTGCCAACAGCTGCTGATCTCATATTTTTCATTAGCATCCTGCAAAATAGCGCAGAAGGAACAGTCAGCCGTAAGGCGATAAGAAACAAAAGTGAGAGAGTTCATGTTCAAGCGACGACCGTAAAAATCAACGGATGATAGAGTTAGCTTACAGGTGAAGAGGAGGAGATACAAGACCAATATCGTCACGACAACCTATATTATATTATAACCACTATATTAGTACGGCCATCGATCTGTTAGCACGGTCAACATCAGCTGAACGTGTTTCTACTGCTGTTAATGATAAGCGACGTACGGTGCGTGATTTAGCTATCCGAATTAGTCTCGAGTGCGTTTCTTCATTTGTGCATGCTTCCTGTACGTAAAAAAAATAGCAGAAAACACGAACACGAGTGCTCTAGGAAACGAAAAAAAAATCTTCAATGCAACCACAGTGTTATTACGGACTGTACTAGCAGTATCGTTCCTGAACTGATCGACAAATGTGTGCCTATACACATATCCTTTCATGTAGTGGATAAGCACAATCGATAGACGAGGCCAACGAGCTGCAAAGTTACAACCACGAAGAGGAGGACGCCACCGCCGCCGTGAAGAAGCAGCAGCAGCAGCAGCAGCAGCAGCAGCAGCAGCGGTATCGAGCCAGTAGTCCCATTTTGAGTTTTTGTGCAGGAATACAGTGTGGGACAATAGCGTGCCATTGCTGTCTATTGGTTCAGTCTCGAAATCTCCATCTCAGGATAACGCTACAACGCTTCGACACAGAACCAAGCCGACATGATTTTCGTTGCATCTGTTCACTAGTATAGTGTTGTTCGCTTAATCATCACCAGTTGATCTTTTCGACGCACCACCCACGTTTACCCCGTACACTCACCCATCTGTTAGAGTAACAGTGCCAGCGAGCATAATAAAAACAGCAGAACTGAAAAACAAGTTTATACCGTTGAAAATCAGTGACAGACGTCGCAGGGGTGTATTGTTAAAACTATCGATCAATACAGCGGGGCCTAACTGGCGCTTGTGCTCGCGAGGTTCTGCCTGCTACAACAACAACAGTCAGTCATCGGTGTCAGTGAAAGCTCTGACGTTATGAAGCAAAGTGAGCCCGTTGCTATTCCCGGAAGGGCCGAGCCCCGACGCTTAAGCCCGTTGAGCTGCAAATCAGCGATCAATAATGATGGCGATGATTTTGATGCCGATGATCTCAACCTCGGCTCGCTGTCACCGCTTCCTCTGTCGTCTGATCTGCCGTCATCGCAGGGTAATTATCAGTCTATCATTGCACTTCTATTATTAGCTGATCGTAATAATAACTGTAATAACAAGCAGCACCGCAATGACATTCTGCCATTGCGGATGTATAATAACAATAATACTAATGACGATGCTGCATTACCTGTGTGGTAACAGGTAAAGCGTTCCCATCAACCACAGATACTCCTGGAAATATCAGGAGGCCTCCCCTGCGGCTTACCCAACTTTCTTTGTGGATGTATTATACTTCAGGGCTCGTCTTCTCTATGGACGTTTCACTACGATGACAACAAAATAATATGCATTGATACTTTATAGATATGCATAGATGTGTAGATATGTCCCAGTGAGTAACAAATAGGATATTATTCGTCATTTTCTATTCGTGTTGCTCAGTGAAATGTTCCTAATGAAGCAAAGGTATGCTGATGACGACAGCGTATGAAACTGCCCAGTTTCTCGAGAATTTTCCGCTAGGAGGAAAGGACGGGTTGTTTGTCAACGCGCTCAGCCACTGCTCGATTATTCGCGTACTCATTCGTTTGCTCCGTGAGCTAAGCAAACCGATAGACAGACAGACAGACAGTCGGACAGACAGACAGACAGACAGACAGTCGGACGGACAGACAGACAGACAGACAGTCGGACAGACAGACAGACAGACAGACAGTCGGACAGACAGACAGACAGTCGGACGGACAGACAGACAGATAGACAGTCGGGCAGACAGACAGACAGACAGACAGACAGGCAGATAGACAGACAGATAAGCAGACAAGCAGTTGGGGAGATGTTGCCGATCGTCCCCATTTGCTTTTGGCTTTACTACGGCTGCGTTTGATGTGGTCGTAAACATCACCTACCAGCAAAGCTGCTGCTGGCCAGTTTGTCTGCCACACTCATCTTTGGGTACCAGTTATTACGGCCGCGGCCGCAGCTGCAGCAGTGCGCGAGAACAGCGATGCGACGACGGTGGCGGCGGCACCTACTCACTCAGCCACAAATAATACAACAGCGGGCAAGCAGGCGACTTGTCGATCTTTTTTCCTCTTTCTACTTTGTCCCATACGTCGCCCCCTATCTGTTTCCCCGGTCGTTCGTCTGTCGTTCTCAGGTTTAGTCATGTTATCTCCGATCTCTAGTTTCCAACTGGCACAACTCGTTCTCAACATAGCGTATGTTTTTTCAGACAGTAACATTGAGGAAGTTGTTGATCTCTCTCTCTCTCTCTCTCTCTCTCTCTCTCTCTCTCATTATCCTCCTCTCCCTCCCTCTCTTATTATCAACTCATTAATTAGTTATTACCTATTATTAAGTTATTCATGTACATAATAAAAATACGATTGAGATTTCGAGTTTGTGTTTGGAAACAATGTTTGCTGCGCTGTGTTTGTTGCACCATCCAAGTCGATCAATTTCCAATTGTCGAAAGAGAACGTTTCAGAACGCTTTCCGATTAATAAGGAAGGGGAATATATTATAGCGCAGTAATAGGCACCGAAGAAAGTGTAGCTTGCTTCGAAGGCATCAAAAGGATACAAAATGCGCAAGGAAGATACGGAAGCTGTTACAAAAGGCCATTTTCATTACAACTGCTTAACATCCTAGCCAATGACTGCTATTCAGTGAAATGATATTGTTAATATGGTAACTAAATATATGATAATAATTGGACATTAGAGAAGAAAGGTCAAAACAACATTGAAGTCTTCCTGTCGACTACCTATCCATGAGCAGCACTATCATCCTGATCATCGTAGGTCAATCATCGATCTATCCATTTCTTGGTCTGACCGAACCGGTGTTGCTACTTCTATTGTAGTTGTAGTTGTGTGGTAGAAAGATGATCGGGTTATTGTTGCTATGTGACGGCGCCAACGGTTATGGTGCTAGAAGCAGCTGAACCTCTCAGCGTAGGAATAGCGACTGTAGGAATCGCTTGACGACGACGACGACGACGACGATAATAACAATCATGATAACATAGGGTGTTTTAAAGTTGACGTCAGTTTTTAAGCAGGCGGTAAAAGAAGCATTTTCCCAATGGGGTCACGGGAAGCCGATATCTATTTGATTACTACAAGTGGAATTCGTACAAAGCTGCCATCTCACAAATATCATTAGAAGGTGATTGCGTGACAAACGTAGCATCTAACTGAGAAACCGAGTATACGTACAAGAAGCTGGAGGTCAACTGGGCAAAGTAGTTGGCAATAGGACACTTAAGAATGCAGGCATTGTATTGATCACGTTTGCCTTTTTAGCATTCAAACGACAATACCAAAGATATTTTTTATTATGATACATACAGTGCAAAAGCGAGCACGTAGAAGTCCATTGAACGTCGTTAGTCGAACGCTTATCGTGCAAAACATAGGAATGAAATCTCCTTTCAAAGCCTACCAGCATCGACGCGAGCTGGCTCTTTGCTCGACAGAACCCAAAAGTAGCTAGTACTTCAGCTCGTATATGGGATGTGATTGTCTCAAGCCCCGAGAACTACGGCTGTGTGTTCAGCTTTTAGCAGCAAAATGAGTATTGGCCCCATTAGGCGAGATGGTTTGTTTATTGAACCTTTCATTTCATTCATGAAACCCATCATCTAACCATTCATCAGAAGGAGCCTATCAATTTTTATTTTTCCTATGTCTCAACCCTCTCTCTCTCGCTGCGTTTGTCTTAAACTTTTCGTTTTGTTTACCATCGGGCATTTAAACAGCTTTCTGCTATTCGCAAGATAGTGAAAGACATGATGCCTATTACTCGAGCCGATTTGTTGGTCATCGCTAAATGGTACTCATTTACGGGAAGAGTGTCAGCAAAGATTGCCGCAGTATCTTTTTTATATGGCTAATTCGTTGCGATGATCGGTAAAGTATCTGCCTGATATCAGTGTCGTAACCAAATAAATTATTAGTTGAGCCGAATCAAGTAAGAGGGTTTGTTGATTGGGAACGAAACATGAACAGATCGTCTGCCAAGACCAGTACATTACAGATTTAGTCTAAAGAAACCGTCAGTTATCAATCTGTTCTAACTAAATCCTTTGGGTTTGTCCATAGCCTTTTATAGGGGGTCCACGGTCATTCACGTAGCTGATATGAGCGCTAGTATATATCGTTCATTTGGTGCTTTTTCACGCGGCTCAGTGGCGTTTTCTCGAAATCATTATTATTATTATTATTATTATTGCAGTGAAGACGAAAGAAAGAAAGAGAAATAAAAGCCCTGCGTTTTCCTGGGTGCTTTTAAGGGCTTCGACATAAAATATACGACAAAACCAGACGGTCATTTATGACAAAATATTAAAATCAGTTTTGAGCTGTGTGCTTAGCGAGACACAAACAGCTCTGACCAATAAAAGAAGGAGCTTTTATTCCATCTTTCTTCTGCTTTCTTTTTCCTTTGTGCCATCGGCATCGCTCGTATCGTCAGCATCTCCATCTTCATCTCTCTCTCTCTCTGTCTGTGCAAGCATGTGTGTGTATGTCTCACTGCATCAATAACAACAATAATGACAGGGACAAGCATAACAACATCTGCTTACGCGCCATTCCGCTGGATAGATACTACTATTACTACTATTGTTGCATTTTATAATGTACAGTTCCATAGTTCGACGGCAATGAATACGAGACAGAACGCTGACAGCCATGGGCGTCAGTGCTACGGGCTGTGCTGGCCCTTGCATCTGCCATTGTGATACTGAACTGCTGTTCTTAGCGCTGTTGCCGCCTGGTCAGCGTTTGCAGCAGTGAGTTAAGAGAACATGCAATGGGAGGAGCCATTTGAAAGAAGCCACTTGCTGTTTTGGGGGGCGTCGCAGTGTTGCCTTTGCCCCCCGACGTCATCTGGTCTTTCGTCTGATATAGTTTTAAGCGCAACGGAAAGCTAAAGAGAGAAGGGCATTATTAAAGCCGATTTCTTCAAGCGACTAGTTACAGCTTTCGATATGTCTCGCTATAAGATAGCTAAACGAATGAAGAAGAGGAAAAGCGATAGCGTAGTTATTTGGGCCTTGCTTGCGTAAGGATTATGTTGCGATGTGGGATTTTTTTTGACTCCGTTCTTTGTGCGACCCAGTTTGCTGCGTGATTCTTTCTACAATCACTGTATTCATTGAATAATGACAAAAAGGCCCGTTTGACCCGCATCGCGTCTCGCCACTAACCTCCATTTTATGATCTGTGTGCATGCATGAACGCAAGTGCTAGAAAATTAGTCAAAGCTTTTCCAATAGTTGCTCGATAGTAAGCGGTCGGTCCATATTATAGTTGTTTGGTTCGACAGTCCGTCAATCCGTCTGTCGGTGGTCGATCAGCGGCAGCAGCAACAGCTGAGCGGTGCTGTGATGTCCAGTTGTCGCGCGGCTGTATCGTGCTGTGAATGGCTAGAGCAACATAAATAAGGCCAGCATTGAAGGCAATTGGAAGCTACGCGGTCGCCACACCTATATAACGATTGGACGCTGCATAGTGCAATCAGCACTTTGTTACGTGGACGTTGGACGTGCATATCTCTGCTGCTGCTGCTGCTGTAACTGTTTGGCTGACTACTGCACGGTACTTTGTACGACGCGTGCAAACGATCATTTGTGCGTTCATGCCCGAAGGGTACAATTAACACGATGAACATTACTATTTATGTTGGGAAACTCAGTGTGTGTCGTCAAATGATCTATCTTAATCAAAACATGTGATAAGCTGAAAACTGTTAACTTGTCCTCGTTAGCGTTGTTTAGTACTAGTACCGATCTGGTGGCGGTGTTGTTACTCGCCAACCAGCCTACATCAACTGTGCCTTTTTGTAGCTCGATATAGATCGTACACTTTCATATGTAGTAACGTCGATTTGAAAACGAAAGCACAGTGCAAAAGAGGCCAATAGGGACCGTAATTGGGGACGCCCCCTTTTTCTCTAATTCTATTGCTGTTGTGGTAGTCATTATCATTGTTACTAGCTTAGTGTTGAACTCGGACGAAGTGTATAGTATACTAATTGATAGCTCTGCTCGAATTTTTCCTTCGCTTACAGCTGACCTCTCCGAGCTTATCGGAGACTGCGACTCAAGGCTGAAGATCTCGGTGGATTCGCAATCGGGGGATTCGAGCTCGGGATGCGGTGGTCTTTCGGGAGGTTCAGGTTCTTCGGGTACCGAAGTGGACGCTCTTGGTGTTCTGTTCCCCGACTGTTCGTCGCCCAACGGTCGAACCCAACGGAAGAAAAAGAAACGATCAGGCTATAGCTTCACGGAAAAGGGCTTCAATGATTTGTACGAGCTGACAGGCGAGCATCTGGGTGAAGGTTCTTATGCACATGTCGTGTCTGCTCTAGAGCGCAGCACGAAACGTGAAGTAGCTGTCAAGGTGATCCTGAAGGATGCGCCAGGTCACTCGCGGCCGCGCGTCTTCCGCGAAGTGGAGACGCTACGCGAGTGCTCAGGCCATCCGAACATCATCCAATTGTTGGACTTCCACGAGGATGAGTCCCATTTCTATCTCGTGTTTGAAAAGATGAATGGTGGTCCGTTGCTGTCGCACATTCAACAGCGGGTACACTTCACAGAGCGCGAAGCCTCGGAAATTGTGGGTCAGCTGGCGTCCGCGTTGGCTTTCTTGCATCAGAAGGGTATCGCGCACCGAGATCTCAAGCCGGAGAACATCCTGTGCGCCTCTCCGGACTCTGTCAGCCCGGTCAAAATTTGTGACTTTGATTTGGGATCCGGCGTCATTTTGCAAGAGTCTAGTCCCGTGTCAACCCCTGAGCTTTTGACGCCTGTGGGCTCGGCGGAGTTTATGGCGCCCGAAGTAGTGGGCGCCTTCATAGGTCAGGCCGTCTACTATGACAAACGATGTGACCTGTGGAGCTTAGGTGTGATTGCCTACATGCTCCTATGTGGCTATCCCCCCTTCTATGGGAGCTGTGGCAGTGGCTGTGGTTGGGAGCGTGGAGAGTTTTGCTCGGCCTGTCAGGAACAACTGTTTGAGAGTATCCGCGTTGGCTATTACGAATTTCCGGCTCGAGAATGGTCTGCTATCTCGGAAGACGCCAAAGATCTCATTCGCAATCTGCTTGTTAAGGACGTCAAGCGGCGTTTCACGGCCGAGGCCGTTTTGCGACAGCCGTGGGTCGAACGTGGTGGTCCAACAACAGCTCTCGAGACGCCGTCCGTGATGCGCCGTAACAACTCCGCCAATCATTTGCAGAACTTCGCCGATGCCGCGAACGCCATGAAAAGGCTCGTCACACATCAGCAGACACTGAGCGAGGAAGTAACAGCCGCGCTGAAGGCCGTACGTGCGGCAGAAGACACCCCGCCAGCATCGTCGCCCGAGCCTTACCTCAGTCTGGACTTTGGCCCGGCCGCTCCAACGAAAGTGGTGGGCCTTTCACCGCCTGGGGAGTCTGCCTTGGCACGCAGGCGACGTCTGAAGTCTCTCTCACTAGGAAGTACAGGTGAATCGGCCACGGCAACCCCTCCAATCTAACTGTGATATAGTCTCCGATCCGCGCAGGATGAGCCAACATGATGAGCTCAGACATCAACAAACAAGACGATACAATTATAAAGGCAGACCGATAGACTCGTTCTACCCAAGACGGAAAGATAAAGAAAAAAAAATAAGAGCTATCATTGATAATCCAACAATGAAAACCTCTATATACATATATATATATATATACCGCGGCTTCTCTTCCCCCATTGCAATCGTAGTCAGGCAAATTAAGTTCTCTTGAGATCAAGAAATGTATGTAATGTGTATTCTGGTCTTTCGTATTTCTTAGTTTATGTAACTAGCGTTAACGTCCTAGCGAATCAGTGACTTTATTATCGATGCGTTAAATCTTAATAGAGAAAGAATACTATGACACACGATGGAACCGAGTACTAAAAGATTTATAATAATGGTCAGTGCTCTTTTGTGCAAAAACTAGCAGAAACAGCAGGATCGAGAAATACAAACAATGATTTATTCTACTCCACAAATTTTAATAACAATTATTATTACTGTTCTTGTTATAATTATATTTTTGAATGGCGATTGCAACTATTAGTTCTCAGGATTGAACTGTGTGGGCGAGCTAAACGTGATAAAAAAGGAAAGAATCCTTTAGTGTTAAATAGCTGTTGAAAGTGGCGTGAGAATGCAGAAGGTTGACATTAGAGTACCTTAGAAAAACCGTTTGTGTGGAGCATCTTGTGCGGACGACATCCAGCCTAACGATATACACCATGGTAGCACGCGAGTTTGTGACGATGCCTTGTACTTCTTTATTGTCATGTTGGCTTTTGGCATTTGCCGCTCTTGCAAATTATAGGAATTTACAAACGGCGAAAGAGAACGGGGCCGAAATTACAGTACTTGACAACTCCCTGGAAAATCTGGTGTGATAGATAGTTCTTGATTATCGCAAACCATAAGCTACAACAACGACAGCCATGAAAGAATACATAAAGAAGAGGTTTATCAATGGGAGTTTATTCCCATTAGAAGCCGGGACCATCGTTAACAACCATGCAAATACGAAGTTTATTGATTAATAACGCTGAGTGAAAGCCGGCACTGAAATCGAAAACATCAACAACAGATGTTAAACAAGACGCACACGAAAGCGTCATGTATCAACGATACAACATCAAACGCCGAGGCACAGGTCCACAGATACGATGCAAGCCGTGCAGAGCGGCCAATGCCGAATGTGCTTTTAAAAGGCCAATAGCAGTGGACAAAGCCAGTTACCGAGAGAACGACAGAGAGAGAGAGAGAGAGAATGGTGATGGTGACGATGATGCTAATGATTACCTTCATATTAGAGATCAGCGTAGCTATCCAAACACTCCGAGAGTGCTTGGATCACCGATATAGCATATACCTGAATCTGTCGATAAATAACACCTATATAGTGTCAACGAGTCGGGCGGAATTTATGGATTATTGTGTTTGCGTCTGCGCCTGTGTGTACGCATACACACACACACACATACAACAGAAACACAAACATACCTATATACATAGGTATATATTATATCTAGGCAGGTGGCTATACAGCGTCAAGTGACTGAAGTAATATGTAATTGTGGTATATGATTAGTACCGCTAATAGTACTACTACGCAGGCCCAAAAAGTGTCTAGAAGCGGTTAGACATTATTGCTGGTAACCAGTGAAAAGACAAGCCCTGCTCGCTAGGGGGCTGTGTACGCGGTCAGGGTCATGACAACAATCACATACATATATATATACATGAAAATTGGATGAATCGGCTGGTTTGTACCTGCGTGTGGCGACCTGCCAGGCGACCAGCCTATGAAGATCTTCTGTTGCATGCTCTTGTACAGATCCAGGTTCCTTTTTTTTTTTATAACGACGACGACGACGACGACGACGACGATGATGATGATGATGATGATGATGATGATGATGATGAATGATGATGGTGATGATAAATGAGGAAATCTCGAATGAAGAAAGATTGTTCGTGTATTTCATGAAAAATCATTTCAAACGCTTGACTTAGTGTGACAAAATCGATTCAAATACAGACGGTTGGACCGAAAGGTGGGCTTACTATCGACTGGCAATACTGTTGCGTGTGTATGAATGACCAATAGGTATCAACATCAAGAATAAGACGACGGACAAAAACGTAGCAGTAGTTTATACAGTCCTGGCTAATAGGCCCTTCTCAGGAACTAATAGGAGCGCCGACGCTACCTATGCCCCGATGAAGGAATAATGTCGCGATGAAGTTCGACACTTACGATATTATCAAGATGAGGAAGAAAAGTGGAAAAACATACAGATGTTATCGATAACTTGATATACGATAACAAACATAGATGGTAATGATGATGACGATAACGCAAGTATATATACGAACATATGCATAAATATATAAACATACACAATATATCGATTCCGACAAATGTTTGCAACAAGAAAGAAAAAAGAAACTGATTTCTAAGCAGCAACAACAACTGGCTTATCCGTAGAATAGCACAACAATAAGCTACACTATATAATGATATCGTCTATGTGTGTTCATCTTGAGCAGTATATATGGATAATATTATTATTATTATTATCATCATCATGGGGAAATAATCTATAATCCATCAATCTGTCATGGTTCATTTAAGTCTGAGTGCATCCTTGTTGTTCGTTGCGTGTTAGTTTACCTGGCGTCTGGCGGGTCACTGCAACAGTGACGACGATAACAATAGTACTAATAACAGCAACAACAACAACAACAACAATGACAGCGACTACGAAGATTTGAAAGCGTGATAATGATAATCATTATTATCATCATCATCATAGAAATCGCACAGTTTGGGGTGCGATTGCGACAGGGGTAGTGCCTCAAAATCTGAGAGACAACTCGGTCTTCGTACAAACAAACAAACAAATCCCGCAAAAATGCAGGGGAGTATTTCACCTTTCTATGCACACTTCATCGCTTATTACCTCGGCCTTTACTCGGCGATTTCTTATTGCAGAATTTGCCTTCTTTCCGTCTTTCGAAACAGAGGCAGTCCTCCATGTGGTAGAAAAACTTCACCACCGACGTTGTCATTAGAAAAAGTTTGCGTCATTGTTTAGTGGTAATGTGTCTGAATATGAACCTTGAGGGTACATGTGAGTTATTTCTGTCCTAGGTTTAAGGCTTAATAAACAAAATGCGCTTGTCAAAGAGGGTGAAGGGGATTCAGCCATTCGATGCAATGATGTCCCTAATGGCGGTTCCGGGCGTAGAACTTGAAACATTTGATTAATTTAACAATCGTTTTGGTCGTTCTAGCATGATGATCAGCGATACACCTATGATTTTATGATTGTAAGGTTCATGCAATGTAACATAAAGCGAAGTTGTGGCTTTCGGGAGAGTCATACAGGTACGGCGGGGCGGCGGGGGCAATCGGGATATGGAAAACGAGGTGATGCTTATTTTGAGAAAAATCATGTGAACAAAGACAAGATGGCAAGTAAATGGTGTCACTGATACTGATCGTGAGATGATTATACACGATATATATATATTCACTTTATTGATGCATATGGCAACGGTAGTCAATTAGGAGCAGAAATTAAATGGGAGAGAGTTGTGTGTAAGATGGTGTTTAGCGGTTTGTGCATATTTGTCTGCGACAAAAATAAAGCAGAACAAATCTGAATAGTGTGTAGCAGACGATCGGAAATAATGATGCTCTATATTGAGGATAACAATAAGGATGTTGTCTCTTTTTCAGTTAAGGCTCCTGCCAACCCACAGTCTCTCCGGGGATGGCAAGAGACTTTTTATGCTATATACGCATTCATACATTCTTACATAATGATAATGCTGATGAAAACCAATAAATATAAATAAATCACGCAAGCATGCCAATGAGAGTGATAATGATGCTATGAGAAAGCGTCGTATGTACGAGTGATATTCTAACAAGGCGATATGCCGGTGCCCGTAAACCGTCGCTTTGTCCTCTGCGATATAGGAGAGAGACCGGCGAATTTTATAAAAAGAGTGGCTTCCGATTTCGTCAGTAGACGCATTATCATAGGCTTAGCATATATACACTACAAGGAAAAGAGAACACCTAAGCGAGCGGGAGCTAGATAGCGAAAGAAGAAATAAAACTTTTCATATTTTTCATTTCAAAATGCAGAGAAAGAGGGAAGAACCCCAATCGTTTAAATAGGAGAACCCGAATGCTCCGTGTGGCGATATCTAGTGAGTGGAAAACCCAAAAAACTATGTATTTCGTGTTCAAATTGCGCGCTCGTCATTGTGTCGCGGTAACACCGACCCACAGCAAAAGCCATTTCGTCAGTTGTTTGTTTCTAATAATATGGGCAACTGATATGATCAGTGTATCAGAGTTGTACTACGGGTAAAAAATAGAAAAATTATTGAACGAAGGGGTTTCTGTCAAAAATTTGTTCACGTTAAACAATTTTCTGTTACAATGGTACTATACGTAGATTTTTCGAAAAATATACTTGACCATATATTTACTGTGTGCATAATTAATTATAACTGATGGTGGTGATCGAAAATAGCGTTGATACTTCCGACGTTCCGCTGGACACCAACAGCACTATGGCAATACTATCTTTTGTATTGCGATCAATTATTATTAATATATTTTCTACATTTCTTTGTTACGGACCAAAAGTTGTCCCTTTCATGTTGAATGCTGGTGACTGATTGATTGATTGATCATATGGAACCATAGCACAGACTTGACTACGTCTGTTACTATAATATGGAATAGTAATTATAATCATGTTAATGATAATGCAGTGGCATAGTTGTAAAAAAAAAAACCGCACGCCTGACACGATCCGTGTATCGAATGTGAACATATCGCCACACGGACTGCTACCGGATTGTATACAGATATACATTAGTGACGCTGCGATATGGATGTAATGTTGACGGAGATTTCAGGTTGGAGGATGGAAACACGCTTACATTTCTCGAAGGTGGTGGAGTTTAAGAAGCCTGACTTTTGCGAGACGGAACCTGAAGTTGCTGGTAGTCTAGGTGGTTAAAATAACGGTAATGATAATGATGTAAACGAAATATTGGCCAACTAAAGTGTGCGATGAAATGGTTGATGTGCAGGGTGAGCGACAAAGGGGCTTTGAGTCGTAAGGGAACAAACAGGCGGAAAACCTGGCGTCAGGACAGAGAAAGGTACAAGGGCTCAGGCAACCGCAACGATAGAACGTCGTCGTCGTCGTCGTCGTCGTCGTCTTCGGTTGCGTTTGTCTGCTGTGTTACTGTAGACAAAAAACAAACAGAAGAATAAGGGCAAGGTGTCAAACAGGACTGATGAGACTATAAATGAGGCGTCGTGTGTCTCTTAAACATCAGAAATGGCCTGACGAAGGCAGCGCTGCAGTGACTCAGTCAGAAGGACGGTATTGGAACAGGTTGGAAGAGACTACCTTCAAAATAGATCCGTTCTCTGCGCGTTGATGAAACGCACTCTAGTAAATAGCACGAGTTGGAGTTGAACAGAGAGGAGCCTATATGCTCTCCTCGTTTTAACCGTCGTTGCCGTCTATCATTATTACTGCTATTGTCAGTTGTTGCAACGTCAGCAGCAATAACGATGAGTAAAAAAAACAATACTGATTCAATGACAATAGAACAATTTGCGATAAATTTGTAAATAGAAGTTAATCAAACCGGTGAACCTTTTGGCTATTTTTGGTGTTTATCCGGCTTTCACTTATACAATCAAAAAAAACTCTCCTCCAATGCTGAATACATTATTTGAATACGGTCGTTGTCATCCATCCACCTGACAAAAAAAACACATCCCCCACCATGGTACTACAGGTGCAACTGCTACCAAATTATTTCGATGGTACATATTTTTACTTTGTACTCTGTATTATATTTATTCAGATCGTTTCTGTACAAGATAATGATGCAAAAAGCGACAGCTATAGAAACAGTAACAACATCAAACCAATAATACAGTATGTGACCCGGATTTTGAATACCTGAAGCATCAATGCAAATAAAATGTACAACAGTTAAACTCCGCATTGCTGACGGAGTAAAGGTGAAGAATTTACAAAATCGTGTTTTTACTTATTTCGCATGTGTATTAGCTCATCAATAATAGCCATATGTGTATATTAGTACCCAAAAGAGTGTAATAAACTTACTGTACTAGCTATAATCGTGTGCCTTGTTCGTTTTGGGAACAAGTCGTTAAAAATCCCAGCAATCTCCTGCACATAACTCGATAACCGTGAATATGGAAGCGCACTCAAAGGATAAGCTTAGCTTTAAAGACGGGTGGGCATGTGCGGTATTTCCTTCTGGTGAAGTTGTTCCATCCCCCCCTCCCCCCCTCCCCCACCTCCTGGAATCCAATATGGAGTATACATCTAGTTGTACAAGTGAATTGGTACACACCTTACTCTGAGCCAAAAATAAGCTGATAAGTGGCCAGTAGGGGGATCGGAGTGTTGTCCACGATGCTATTGTTACTTTAAGCATTATTTTGTCCAGCTAACTGCTCTAGCCGTCCTACTGCTATCACAGACCAGCTGTACGGTTTTGTTGATCTGTATTTCTCTGCAAAGTGTCTGCTGTGCTGATGGTGGCAGTGGAACCAGGCCGCTGCTGCTGCTGCTGCTGCTGCTAGGGCACAGAGCTTCATGTAACGTATGCAGCTGATGACGACGACGACGACGACGAATGCTGTGTGCGTCGTCAGCTTGAGACCCACCAACATCCTTTGTTATCGATGATCGTTGTTACCGGTTGTGTGAAGATGTAGTGAGATGGTAAGTCGTACTATATATATGTATACTATACGATTTTAGTGGCTGTCCGAAAAGCTTCTTTCTGCTCACGACCGACTGACTGACTACTCGCCCAGCAGCCTTACCGGTATCGCTCACTCTCGCCAATGAACGTGGATGGGACATGCAGCTCGGGTCATTTCGTTGCTGCTACTGCTGCTGCTGCTGCTGCTACGCAGCACGTCAACAGACGCCAGTCAGCCAACACAGCAGTCGCTAAATATTCGTCGACGGCGATGCGGCGGCGGCGGCGGCGGCGGCCGCAGTCGGACCAGGCAACGCAACCGGCAGCAGACAGCCACTAGCAGCCCGACAATTCACAGCAGCGGTACACGGCCGTTTACTCATTCGCTTGCGGACATTGAAATGGCGACATACATGCGCACGTCTTGTTCGGCTGCTGCCGCTGCTACTGTTGTTACCTGGATCGCTTCGGAATCAACAACAACAACAGCTGCCGCCGCGGCATTTGGCCGTGGTTGTCGCTGCCATCGCAATGCCGCTGCTGGTGACGTTGCCTGTTGACTTCGTTACTGCCACACTACGCCCGTCACAGTAGTGGTAGTGGCCTGTGGTAAGCCTACTCGGCTGGCGCAGTTGAGAACACGACCCAGAGTGCGATGCTGCCGTGCGCTGCCAGCGCAGGAGCAGCTGCAGGCGCGAATTAAGTCCGCCAGCCAGTCTCACTCTTTAGTCAATCGCCTGCGTGAGCCAAACGACGAATACGATGTAAGGAGAAACGGTTGTCGACCCGTTGATCGGACTGTTTCACTCTCCTGACGCCCTACACGACCATCGTCACTATTACGTGCTACACGGCAATGATCGCATTCGGGTCTGAGAGTAGGCCATATTGAGATTGTACCGCAAACACCTGTTCGTGTCTGCAGAGCGGGCGGACGGATAGATCTACAAACAAGCAGGCATACTTGCATAAGAACAAGGAATGTTTGCTGAAAGAACAGTAGAGGGATAGATGGACGGGTGGACAAACAGAGAAAGAAGAACAAATAATTTTTCGCCTTTGTTCTTGATTGTGATTTGCTGTTATTCTAATACGTGAGAATGCCATCGTTGCCGCTGCTGCCGCCTCGTTGACTACAGCTAAATCTCAGTGTGGTCGATCAGTCCGCTGCAGGCCCTTTGGCAATGGCCAGGCCCATTGGTACTGGCCAGGACCGCTGGTAATGCGCGCCAACTCTTGGCCCTCTGTTACGCATAAAGTACCGGTATCGCAGGGATACAGGAAACATCGCATAAACTTCGCTCTGTTGTTAACGAGCTGTCGTATAGCCGTGAATGGAAACGACGACAACCGCCGTAAGCGACGCGGGCGATAGGGCCTTTCAGATTTGCAATATCTTTTAGTTAATCGATTCTATGCAAGTAGACAGATTTAGCCGATCAAGAAATTGACTGCGCAATAGCTTTAACGATCGACTGCATATACAGGGCACCGTTGGCAATCATGTTGTGGAAATTATTTAAATCTAATAACTAATGGAAAGCGGGGGGCATTTTCGGTAAGATCTGCATATTATGATGCATCAATAAAATTATTCAGGAAGCTTTACCAATACACGTTCAACCGTGTGAAACAAAGCTGAGATTTCTAATGAAACTAATTTATTTTTCATT